TGTAATGCAGTGGGTGAATCTAACAGTGTCAGTGTCCGAGGGGATTTCAGCAGCCCTTTGAAATGATTGCTGAGCTCAGTGGGTGTGCCTCACACCTGGGGGTGGCATGAAAACCAGCACAGTGAGGTACCAGGGCATGTGTGGAGGGAGAGAGAAGGATGGCTGCAGGAAGGGTCCCTTTTCAGCGGTTTTCCTTGTAAAAGCCTGGATGCGTGCACCTCTTGGAAACCTTTTGCTTGGGTGGTAGCTTTCCCTACTCCAGGATTTTTGGGAGGCGGGGTCTTGCTTCCCTCGCAGAGGGAGATGCTCTCCATAGTACGGAGGGCTGGTGTCACCACAGTTTGACTTCGAGCCTGGGGGCTGAGCTGCCGAAAAGGTGATAATTAACCCAGAGCCTCAGCCCCCTCTCACTTGGAGTGCTGAGACTCGCTGTGCCCTGTGCCAAGCCGGCATTTCTGGGATGTCAGGGACGCGTTTGGTGGTGTTTGGGGTTTTTTGTTATTTGCAGCACATTACCAGTCAGTCGCTCACCCAGACAGCTCCTAAATACAGCAGCACTTGAGGAGAGGAAGTGTTTTAACCTAAGCTTAGCTAACCCCGATCTTTGCAAACAGAGAAACTTCTCCGTCCTGGAGGCTTCTCTCCCCGCTCCTCGCTGTTACCCGAGCTGCTGCCGGAGCTCATTGTTGCTGCGAGAGCCGAGGGAAGTTTGGATTTCCCGGTGCCAGATTTGTGAAGCGTAAATGAGAAAACCTTTCCCGGCCCCGTGTGCCACGCAGAGCTGCTCAGGTGGCTGGGCTGGCTGCGGGGAGCGCGGGGGCTGCACCTGCTGATGCCTTGGCTCGGGCTGGTGGCACAGAGCGGCCGCGAATCCCCCCTGAGCCGCAAGCTGTTCGTGGCAGGAATGCCTCGCTCCGAGGAGCGCTCCTGCCACGACAACAAAGAGCTCTTTGATCCTTTCCATTTGGAGAACTTAAAACGAGAAAGCCAAACTACAATAAGACCAAGTTGGGTCATAAAAGGAGAGCAGGAGCACCAAAGCGCTCCGGAGTGTAATTGTAGAAGCAGCAAATGCTTTGGCACTTAATTCTGCTTTAGTGTCAGTTGAACGTTTCACGTTTAAGACTGGAGAGCCCCTCACCAAATGCTCTGCACAAACAATCCGGGGCTGCTCCTCGGTGTGCTCGGAGAGCCCGGCCCGGCCCGGCGCGGCCCTGGGCTCGGCTGGGCTGGAGCGGGCTCACGGTGACAAACCCTCCTCGAACCCCTCAGTGCAGGGTGAGCCCGGGCTGCCACTGCTCTAACCCTGCCCTGCACAAACCCTGGCACCGCCCAGCTCCCTGCCTGCTCCGGGCACTGCCCCAGTGCCAGCGGGGCTGCTCCCCAGCCCTCGTTCAGGAGATGCTCTGCTGGAGCCAGCCCTGGGCGCTGCTCAGGCTCTCAGGCTGCGCTTTCCCCTCACTCTGCACAGACCTGGGCCACGCCCCAGAGCTTTCCCTGAAAGGTGGCATTTAAAACAGGCATTTATCAGAAATTTGGCTAACAGATACCACATCTTCCCAAAGTTCTTGGGCTGTGTTTAAACAAAAACATCTCTGAATGATTTCTTTGCAAAGAACTGACCTGCCAGGTGGCACGGCCTTGTTGCATGGCCAGGCAGCAGCCCCTTGGCCAACCCCAACAATTTGGTGTCTGACTTGCAGAGAGCCTTTGCAGGAGCAGGGCTGTGCCTCTGCTGTGTCCTGCTCTGAGCAGGGAGCGTGGCTGGAGCTGCTGCCAGTGGGATGATGAGACCAAAAGGCAGGAGCAGCCAGTGGGGCACATGAGGGGCACAGGAAGCCCTCATTCCTGCTGTGGAGGGGACAGGGATGTGGGGCTGGCTGTGGGGCTTCCTCTGTCCTGTGGCCAGGCCATTGCACTGGGCCAGACAGCCCCTGTGCAGCTCTGAGGCTTTCAAGAATTTCTTTATTGTCAAGAATCAGTTGAAAACGCAAAGCTCCGTGTTTTGGAGAGTGAGTGCTCTGCAGGGCCCATCCCTGCCAGCGCAGTGTGTATGAAATGTGGCTTGGCAGCAGCTCCCAGCTGCGTTGGTGACCGAGGGTGCAGCCCTGGGTCGGTTGCACCAGGAGCTCCTGGGGAAGGGTGAGCCCGTGGCTGGAGCAGGGAGTGATGCTTGGCTAAAGCTGTCTCCCTTTTCTCTTTCACCCCCCTCTCTTTGGAGGAGTGAGGGGATGGCTGACCGACCCAAGAAGTGTTTTGCTATGGCTCAAGTAGGGAACTTATTAAATTTTAAACGTTGGGCACCTGATGCTTAAAAATTACTGAAAACCCTCACAAATTGATTTTTCCCCTAATAGATTGCTGTGAGTACAGTTCTTCATGGTGTAGGTAACTTGTGTGAATGATTTATCCTGTTGGGGATTATAAAAGAAACTGTAAAATTATCTTGTCAGTATTTGAAAATCATTTGTGTGTCTGTGACGTGTCTTAGCACATACAGGAATGCTCTGTTTGGGGAAGTGAGGTCCTTATCCTGATTTATCTCTAGGTACTTGTAAATGCTGCTGTAATTTCATGTTATCAAACCATTTAGCTCTTCCTCTTCCAGAACGAAGTTATTTTATCTCATGCACCTTGTTTACTTCAAATTAGCCCTGAGGTTGGCCTGAAGTTGCACCTTGTTATTCCTCCACCTCCTGTCTCCGTCTTAGGCTCTGTCGGCAAATTTGAAGGTATAAGTAAATACTTTTTTGTTATTAATAGAATAAGTTCCCCCCTCCTACACACATGTTTTCTTTTCATTCCAGTCTTCATTTTCCGTGAAAAACTGACATTGCAGTAGAAGCGGAACCCTCCCAAATTGCATGAAAAACCCTTAATTCTCCTAGCAACAAGGTCAGGGCTCAAATCCAGTCCCTTCCCACGAGCATGGGGGGAACAACCCTTCCAATTACCTGCGGTACAGATCCGGTCGGTTCACAGGCACCTGGCTTTGGGTGGATTTGAATCCCAGCCATGGTATTGTTTAAAAATTCTCCACTCACTGGGGAAGGGTTTGTAGTGGGCTGGGCCCTGAGAAACCTGGAGCTGGTTTTATGGCTTCCCATTGAATTCTGGTGGAACCCTGTGGTGTTGATTGATTTCCCCCTTTGCCACTCATGTGGCTTTGATCAAACCCAGGACTTGTAGAATGACACCCCCAGGAACTGGAATCACTGAGCTTTGCCCAGTTCTGCTGTTCATTAAAGCGTTTGTGAGCTTCCAGTTGGGGATGGTAAAATGAGGACCTTTGTGCCTGTCCTGGATGGAGACTGCTGGTCCTAAGGCAGAGCCCCTGTGCAGGCCCTGGATTGGCAGATTTGTTGGAAGAGTCGCCAGAATTTGCCCTCTTAACGAGACCTTCCCTGGTGCCGAAAGCCTCGAGGTGCTGACTTCAGAGCAAACATCACCTTCTGTCACACAGATGGACCCAAAGCTCTGCTGAAGGCATGGAGTCCTGGAGGAATGGCTGGCTCTGGGGGCTGGTGATGACCAGCCATCCTGGCTTTCCTCTGTTGCTGCCTCCAGCCTGGGTCACTGTGCCTGATGGTTCCCCTGTCGTGTGTGTTTGGGGCTCAGGGCTGCAGGGAAGCCTGTGCGGCATGGCCTGGAGGGGTTCCCTCCTGTTCCGTGATTCCCTGCCCTTCCACAAACTGCAGCAAACTCCACAGGGATTGTGCAGCACATTTCAGGATGGCTGACTGGAAGGACAGGCTGAGCTGCCCTTGGGGGAAGGATGGTGACCATGCAGGGTTTGGCTGCTCACCCCAGCCTTGTGCCCAGAGGGGCCCCTAAGCTCACGCTGCTGCAGCTTCCCTGCCCCCCAGGATATGATGGGTGAAGTGTTTAGTTTGGGTGGGCAGGGTTTCATAGTAGTGTATGTAGGCCTGTAGTTCCAAAAAACTCATCTGATATCAGTGGGAAGCTGAATTGGGCTATGATGGAAATCCTTCCTTTGAGTTTGCTGAGCTTTAAATGAAGTCCTGTGCGATGGTTTATATCTACTTATCCTGTATCTACTCCTGAATATCTTCTGAAGCATAAATCAAATCATGTGACATTCTAAGTACAGTACCAGTGACTCAGCAGTTAAAGGGCAAAATGTTTTCTGGCAGAAGGTTATGGTTGAGAAGAACTTCCTTTATGCTCAAGGACTTGAAGATGCAGTTGTGTGATGCTGTCACTCCCTCCAGTGCTGCCTGTGCTGGGTGAGAATCCTGAATGCAGAGATCCTTGTTCTGCCGTGTTCAAAGCCCAGTTCTGGGTCTGGTGGGATCTCCAGGCTGAGCTGAGCCCAGTTTGGCTTCAGGGCTCTCCAGGGTCCCAGGCACTGGAGTGGTGCTGGGGTCCCCAGTGGCTCCAGCAGCCCTGGAGCACCATGTGTGGTCCATGTGCCAGGGGGTGCCCTGGGATCACATGGAGGAGAGTTTTAAAATTGCTGTGGAGGCTTAGACTGAAGCTTGTCATAATTTTAGTGGGATTTGAGTAGTTGGGGGTGAAAGCCCATGAGGTATTTCAGGAGTGAGGGGTAGAAGGGCAAACACTGTTGTTTGGGCCATGTGAGATTCTGGGGTTTGGTTTTTTTCTGACTAAGTATGATGTTTCCCTGGCACGAATTCAATTCATCCTCTCTCCCTAAGGGAAGAAAGCAAAGCTGGATGTCTTGCTTTGCTTGCAGTTGAAGGCACTGGACTGGATAAACTTAACTGTTGTCTTTGAAAAAGTTTTCTCCCCTTGGATAAGAGCATTTAAAAAAAAGAAATTATGACCTCACGCTTTCATGCTTTAAAAAAAAAATCTATTTTAGCTGATGCTTGTTATGGCTCTTATTAAGAATGTTTGAACCAAAAAAGAGGTCCAGATGTGATGATTTTATTTATGCCAAATTGGGTTTTGGTCACTGAGCTTGCATTTGGATTATTTATTTTTTCTTTCTTTTTTTTTTTTTTTGCCTTTTTCAGCCTGATGGCACCAGTAAGGAGTGTGTCTTCATTGAAAAAGTCCTAGAAAACAACTACACGGCACTGATGTCTGCAAAATATTCAGGCTGGTATGTTGGATTCACCAAAAAAGGGAGGCCACGGAAAGGGCCCAAGACCCGGGAAAATCAGCAAGATGTACACTTTATGAAGAGATACCCAAAGGGGCAAATGGAGATACAGAAACCTTTCAAGTACACAACAGTCACCAAGAGGACTAAGAGAATACGACCCACCAACCCCAGCTAAACAGACAAAAATAGTGTCACAATAAGAAACCACAAAAAGAAAAAAAAAAAAAAACTGCACCAGAGGAATATTTTTACATTAAAAATAAGGAAGAAGCTCTATTTTTGTACATTGTGTTTAAAAAAAATAAAAATAAAAAAAATTAATAAAAGACTAGATGGCAAATGCTGGGGAAAGCTGTTCGGGATTTATTGTGACTTGAAAAATGAAATTAACTGCTCTATTTAAATTGACTTCTTGTTGTTGATGACACACAGGTGCTTCTTTTGCTTTTTTTTGGAAAGGACAACTTCTCAAGCATATCCCCAGAGGGAAAAAAAAAATTATTAAAAATAAAGAAATAAAACCAAAGAAAACCCAAGTTCTTTCCCAAAGTTACTGAGACCCTGCCCCGCCAAGTGCCGGTTGCAGTAATGTATTTATTGCCTGCGCCCGCCAGGCCAGGCGGCGGCTGCGGGGCCGGGCCCGCGGAGCTCTCGGCGCACCGACCCTCTGTACCCTCCTGACGACACTGGGAGTCACGGCTCCGTGATCCTGCATCCCGCTCACTTCTGGAGAATGCTGCTAACTACATTCAAGTGACTACAAGATGACCTAGTACACCAATGATAAGGGAATATTTTAAAACCAGCTATATTATATATATTATATATATATAAGCTATTTATTTCACCTCTCTGTATATTGCAGTTCCATGAACCAAGTATTACTGCCTCAACAATTAAAAAAAATTATTTAAAACATATGTACATATTTTTGCTGTTCACACTTCTTTCCCCTCCCTGAGTAGTGTTTTTTAAATGCATATTTATCCTTTATGCGAGGCTGGCAGGAAATGTTCGGGGCAGTTTCCCCACTATAAACTTCATTGCTGATTCTGTAGTTCCTCCTGTTCCTTAATACCATCTTCCTCTTCCTCCCTGGTTGTTGCCACAAGGAACAGTCTCAGTAGGGTGATGGTGGTGGGCTGAGTGTGAGGGAATCCACGCCAGCGTTTTTCAAGAGCGGCACATTTGATACCTTGCAGTCCAAGGAATATTTCCTAAAGCTGTGGCCAAGCAGAAAGTAAACTGGAAAATGAGTATCTGACTGCATTAACACATACTTACGTGTGGCTTGTGGTTCCTTCATTAGAGCTTTTAGAGGGGCTCCTGCTTTCAGCTGTTTAATTCAAAATTGTGCCTTTTAAAACTTGCCCTCAGTCAGATAAATCCCTCTTCCTTGTCCTGCATGGTTCACCTAGCTCATCCAGGAACTTGTTTCCTTGGTCAGTCCAGCCAGCTTTCCTTCCAGGAATTTTGCACAGGATATGGGTGATGTAAAGTGCCCCACAAACAGAAAATGGGAACAAGAAGCAAGATGAAATATCTGACCTCAGATTTTAGCTGGAATGCTGAGGGAGCCCCAGTGGAGTTTTAAGGAGAAGCTTGCTTGGCTTTTCCTTCTCTCTGTCTGCAGACATGGCTACATTCCCTGGGTACAGCCAGGGCTGGAAATGCTCAAAGCCACTAAGAAAGATTTTCTTGTTAATCAGGAGAATGACTCTCCCCAGAACAAGCTTTCCCAAGATAACTTTGAGAGCTGCAGCCAAATCCTGCAGATCAAAGCTGTTTGGGAGATGGGGCAGATAAGCATGCAAGCTTGAGGATGCTTATCTGAACCAATCTCCAAACCTTGCAAGCCTGGAGAAAAATGAGCAGTGCTAAGCAGGGTCACTCCACACTGCTCCAGGAGGAGCTGGGCAGCTGTGCAGGTGATGCCTCATGCCAGCTGAGCATGGGAGGTCACTCAACAGGCCCTGTCCCAGGGCATTACTGGGAGCTGCTCTCCTGGGGCACCTGGAGACAAGCACAGGAGCGGGACCCAAGGGTGGAATTGGTTGGTGGGGGCTGGAAGGCTTTGCCAGCTTTGTCTCCAGATTGATTCATGTGGGAAGGATTTGGGGAAAGTTCAGAGGAGTGCTGGGGTGGAAGATTGGGAGCAACTGGAGATTTGATGTGTTAGTACCTCCAAGAAAAGACACCCAGTCGATTTCCAGAGTGAGAAAGGTTTTATGGGTGCCTTTCTTCTTGAAATGTTGCCATGGCCCTGATGGTTTCACTGTCAGAACAACAGGGTTTACTTGCTCCTGGAGAAATTCAAAGGGGTGGGGGCAGTAACGGCTGGAGCAGTGCAGGCAGAAGGGATCTCCTCTTCTAGACTGAGGCTGGGAGCAATCAGGGAAGATCTGCTCCCCGTCCTACAATGCGAAATTGGCACATGGGAGTGAGGGGTCATACAACTGGCATACAACTGGGGCCTCTGTCTCTCATGTCATCGCTTTACAGGAGTATTTCCTGGACAGCAGTGGGACAGGTTCCTCAGGCTGTGGAAAGGCAGTGTGGTGAGGAGATTGATGCTCACCTGGATTAGGTGATGCTGGAGGGATTTGTTGGCTAATGGTGCTCATTAAGTGTTTGTATTTGAACATCTGCTTTCAGGCTTTATTAACAACAAAAGCAGGGGCAAAGATGAGAATTCCCCTTCAGAGGACCTTCATGTTGGACAGAAGGGTGCTCTGGGTAGGAGACATTCAAAGACTGAACAGGAATAGGAGGAATCCATCCTGTGCCCAGTGAGGGACAGCCCTGTGCATGGGGCACATGGTTCTCCTGCCTGGGCTGTGCTCAGGGGTCAGGCCTGGAGCTGGTTAGAGGTGGTTGTCAGCAGCCCTGCTGGACAGGTCCTTTTTTGACATCCAGAGCAGAGAAGTAGCTTGTCTGTGGTGTTTAACCTAATTTTGTCCTTTCATAAAATCTTCAGTCACCCTGAATATGAGCTGAAATTTCCCATGGAGGCTTTGCATTTGATTTACTTTATAATTGAAGATTGTTAATGAGGATTTAATTGCTATTCTGGGATTCGCCTCAAGAGCGAGGGACGTAACACTCTGATGGCATTAATGTGCATGGAGCTCTGAGCGGGCACACTTTAACCAATACTCTGCTTAATTGGCATTAATACAAGTGTATTGGAGATACTGCCTCAGAAACACTGCTGGATTAGTCACACTGCTTTGATAGCTGAGATCAGAGAGAGGCACGGGCTGCTAATGCCAGGCTGGCTTTGTCGAGTGCAGGAGCCACTGAGCCCAGGAGGGAAGCTTTGTGAGTACAAGTTTTTTGAGCATGTTGCACGAACCAGAACTGTTTGATGAGACCTTCTGGGTGCTGGATCTCTTGTGCCATCCCTGTGAAGGTGAAGGGTCAGTGATCGCAACTCAGCTAGGCCCAGTGTCTGGTCCAGGCACGGCAAACCCTTCACCCCACAACCAACCATGGTGGTGCTGTGCCCTGCCTGCGGCTTACCACTGGCCAAGAGGACAAGAGTGTCCTGGTCCCTGTGCAAGGTGCCTTCCAACCCCCTGCCAAGCTGCCCTGGTCTTCCTGCCCCCTGCCACAGAGCTGTCAGTGGGTGACTGAGTTCACATCCTGGAGCCCCGAAGCTGGTGTGGTCTTTCCTGCTTAGCAGCAGAGTTGTTCTGTTCTGTGTCTGCAAGTGCCATGGCAGGCTCTGACCTGAAGTGCCCAACAGAGCCTGATGTGCCCCTCTGGGCCAGCAGCTGGCTTTTGGCAACAATCCCTTGGGAGCACAGGCATGGGAAACCCGTGCTTGTTTCCCTGTGCTGTCCTTGCAGTCTTTAGCTCAGGATCACCCCCCTGGTGCTGGGTCACACAGACGGTTTGGATGAACTTTTCACAGATGTGAAGCAGTGGGGCAGCCTCTTCCAGGAGCATGTTTGCAGATTTAGCCCTGCCCTACTGCACCTGCCCAGGTGTAGCTTACCTGTGATAGAAACTGATCTCTTCAGCTGCACATCTTACACATCAATATGTGTGATATCTGTGCAGCTGTAATGATAACAGCTTCTGGGAGCATGGCTGATCCATCCTCCAATAAGTGTCATGAGGTGGGACAAGGGGAGAAGGAAGCAGTCAGGTCAAAATAATGCAGTTTTGGGAGGGGGTGCTGCCCTAGTAGTTAAACCACAAGAAGACCCAGTTTCTATGTCCTTGGCTTGTGGAGTTAAAGCCATAATCTGAACAGGCTGGATGCCCTCATGCCTGTGAGCCCTGTGTGTCTGTGGGTGGGTGTTGGAGCGGGGCAGAGCTTGGGGAGGACCCTCAAAGCGCTGTGAGGCCTGAGCTCAGCCCGGCCTTGCCTGCTGCACCACCTCAGTCTTTGCAGCAGTTTATTTACCTGCTTATGGAAACATGGCAAGGTGGAAGTTAGCTCTGGCTTAGGCAAAGTACCAGCCTAGACCAGCTCTTGAAGCCAGGCTTGACAGGCACACATGGAGCCATAGGGGTGGTGTTCTGTACCATGTGCCTGGTGACGTCCATCAGCTTTCCCTGATTCTCTGCTCAATTTGGTGTCTCTGTATTTTCACAAAAGCAGTGGAATGGGAGTTCAGCCATGATTTTAGACTCCAGCTGGAGAAGTTGGTCTTTGTGTTGTTTAGAAGAGTTTGTCCACCAAGGAAGATCTGACTGAGCAATCGAAGTCAGCTCTAGTGGGACAGGTTGGGTAACAGAAAACATGGGTTACTTTGGCTCCCAGAGCAGACTGTGTTACCATGCCTGCCTTTGAGAAATAAGGTTGGAATAGGTGAAACGTGTATGTGAAATAGGGTGTGTGTGTGTGTGTGTAGTGGTGGTTGGGCTTTTTTAGGCCATTGCATTACTCTGTAACACAACACAAGTATCTGCTGGTGCAGCAGGAAGAGGAGCTCTGTGTGTGAGGGGGTCTGTACATTCCCTCAAGCACTGCTCAGTCATGCTTATCCAACAGAGGGAAAAGGGTCACACAAAGTAGGGGTGTCCCCTGGAAAACAGCTTTTCTCTGCTGTCCACTCTCAAGGTATTAAACACCATGGGTTGTGTCTGCTGTGAGGCAGAGCAGGTATATTCCTATGCAGAATTTCCTGGTGCTGTGCCAAAGGGTGGAAGTTTATACTTAAGATTCACAACAGCTGTTTAAAGTGCCTATGTCTTGTGCCAGCCATACCACCTGAATGGCCAAGGGATATATATAAAACTTCAATTATTTTTTGAATGTTTGTTGTTATTCATTTGGAGACAGATGAGAGGAGATTCCTCACAAATGATGTAACCTATGTAGACTGTTATTTCCAACAGTGTGAGCTGAAAAATTAGGGAGGAAAAACCAGGTCAAACTGAAACTTTTCCTTTTTTTCTTTTTAAGTGAGACAAAGTTCTGAGTGGAGTGATTTGGGTTTACCAGAGACATTTAATTCACTGTTATTAAGGATTTATTTACTTTCTTTAAATACATGTGATTTCATAGGGGAAAAAAAGAGAAATAGAAGTTTCGAAGGTAAAAAACAATTATGTGATGAGTAAAATAGTCTCCCCTGCCTATTTGTCAGTTGAAACTGATGTGAGCCCCCCACTG